AAGATGACTAAACCTAGTGTGAACCACAGAGGAGATTTGCTACCCAGCCCAAGCAAGGGCATCTTCAAAAAGGCGATGCTTTGGAGAAGGAGGACAAAAACATAATTGCTTCCCTTCCTTGGGCAAAGTTCCTGATCCAAGTGACTCAGTGCTCATCCTTCTGAATGGAGATGTTGCTAGTCCACAGGGTTAACCCTGATCTAATGGTGCAAACATTTGCTTCCATTGAACCCCATTTCTTTTGTTCTCCAGCTACTTCACTACGTGGAGACTGTTTTTCTGCCACTCTTGTTTCCTCTTACAGGAACATGGGGGGAACTCAACTCAATGGATTAATCATCCCCTGCTGATCTTCTGTGCTATTGTGAAGCAGTTGTCACCCTTCCTGAGATGCCAGTCTCTCTTGTGTTCTCCTCCTGACTCCCGTAACCCTGATTTATCTTCACCCCCACGGTCTCTTTCAAAGAGACGAGTCTGTCACGAAAAACAAGGGAGTTGATTTCCAGCAGGCAGCAGGTGGAATGCGAGGTCTTCACCAGCCCACTTGTATCGTGAATCATGAAGCAAGTACTTTCAGTTGAGAGCTTCAACAAGGTTTTTCATCATTACATGCTTTTGTCCGGGTCTGTGTATGCATGCAAGGTACGGAAAAGGACAAGAAGAAGGCTAATGTTGGTGGAAAGATAACCAGGTATGGTATTGGTGGCTTCTTACTCAGTTGGTCTTCTTCACAGGAAGTATTTCAGCATCTGTGCAACACTCTGATTCTCTAACCATCAACCTGGAGACGTAAAAGCATCTCATTCCATGACAAAGAGGGATACCCTGGACCTCTTTTCTCAGAACAGCAGTGTGGAGTCTGCGGCCCTTCAGATGAAGCTGCATCATAATTCAAGTATCTCTAATCAACTTGGTTGGAGATCAGTTGTAGGTTGACAGCAGTCCAAAGAGTCATGTAAGCTTGGTTTTCTTTTCATCTCATTCTTTGACCCAAAGAACTTGCTTTCATGGTATTGTCATACAGAAATTGAGTGTGGCTTTCCACCAGGGTCTTAACTCTGATTCATCTTTTTCTGGTTTGCAAGCGGGTCTCCCATCCCCATCCTTAGAGTCCTCAGGATCAAAGAAGGATGTTGGTTTTCAAAGGATGACATGAGAAGAACTTAGGTTGGCCAGAAAGAAAATTGCTTATAAGTTCGTGTTGCTCTTTTCTGATTCCCCCCCCCCCTTTTTTTAATTCAATTTCCTTTTCCCCTTCCATCCCAACTCTGAAAAAAAAATAGCTTTTTCCTTATATTAGCTGAGAAATATTGTAGACAAGAAGTTAGTCATACAAGGTGCGGGAGGCTTAATGTAGGAAACACGTCTTTCTTTGATGGATAGAAAGCAAAGCATCCTGATTAGGGTTGCATTGTTGAATTGGCCTGGGGATGGAGATGTGTGTAGCATGATGTCACTTGAGACATCAAGACCTGCCAGTTGCTAAAATTTAGAAACCTCCCAATGTGCTGAGCCATCTCCCAGAACGGCCATCAGCCACATGTCCAATTTGTCTTCTTTTCTGCTTTCAATTTTTCTTACAACAATTTGCCTTTAATTAGAAATGATTGACTTTTTCCTGGGGACCTGCTATTTGGAGGAAGCTGATTAGAAAGTTGATATTCTGGGGGGGGGGAGGAGGTTGATCACAGTGTCTCCCCCCCCCTTTCAGAGTGTGAGGTTTAGAGCAGTCATACAACTTTTCAAAACCCACCTGTTTGAAACTGCAGGAAGTCTACAACTCCTTTTTGTGATGCCTTCTCACGCGCTTCTACTGTCTTGGTTCTTCACCACTTGGGAAGTTGGTCAAAAGATGGTTCTGGGAATCACAAATGAACATCATGGCTGTTTCAGGAATTCTTATAGCTGGGACATTTTTCTAGCAGTTTCACAAAAAAGCAACTTGGGTGGTAGTAGGTTTCTGACATATCTACCTATTTCAGCCCTTAGATGAGATGCGTTGCCCTTTAGAATGTACCCTGGTTGGCTAGCTGAGGACTCATTCTTGTTTCTTCTGGCCCCGTTTCATGTCAGTGGCCTTGAGTCCTGAGAAGAAGCTCAGTATCCAAACAATGTCAGAAATCAACAAATCAACCAAGAGTGTCCCAAATAATTGAAATGACCAGCAGATGTTTGGAGGCCCTGCTCACTTTACCTGCTGGAGAAGGCTCAATCAAAAAAAGGGGACCAACTCATAACCAGCTATCAACACACAGAAGCAATAAATAACATCTACAAGAAAAATAGAATTTGTGAAGACCACAAGGAGCCATCAGGATCTAAGCACAAACATGTCCTTTCTGCAGCTTGAATTATTTTGACCACATCTCGATTTCTCTCTCTCTCTCTCTCTCTCTCTCTCTCTCTCTCTCTCTCTCTCTCTCTCTCTCTCTCTGTATTTAGAGAGAGGCTGTTTTAAAGGGCTGTTTTTTGAGTTGGGCCACAGGAGAAACGGTTCATCTCCCTTTTTCCCCCTAAAAACATCCTTCCTCCCTGCTTTCCCCCCAGTCTTTCATTTTGTACATCAAGATTCCAGCCAGGGTTTGTCTGAGGAAGCAGTCTTGTGTTTCCAGAGACGACTGCTGTGCATGGACAGTGAGCTTGCTGACATTTAGAAAAATCTCAGAATCTTAAGCAAGGGGGGGGGAGGAAACCAACGGATTTTCCAGCGAAAAGGTCAAGGCTTTGGGGGGGGGGTTGTAAAACGAAAAGAAAGAAAATATTGCTTTAACATCAGTTTCGTGGTCTGCAACAGGATCTAAGCTGGGTTGAACTGGGGATTAGTAAATAAGAGACCAAACTTGGAAACAGAGCTGGAACAGCGGCGAGCAAAGAGTGTTGCCTTTGAAAATTGGATGGAAGGAAATGTCCAGAGATTGCCCTTCCAGAAGGAGAGCAGATGTGTTAAAAATTAGCAAGACATGATTTAACCCTGCGAATTTGGCCCCGGGGTCTGTGCGAAGTGGAGGTCTACGTGCTTTGATTTGAACTGGCAATGCTATTTGGCTCGCCGGGTGTAAAAAAAAAAGAGCTTGCTTTTTTTTTTTTTTTTTTTTTTTTTTTTTTTTTTTTTGAGGTCTTTTCATGTCACTGCGGGATTCTCCAGCAACTTCAATAACTGGAAGAGACTTCTGGGCATGACTTTCTGGAGGTGTTGGAGAAGGTCCTCCGAGATGACATGATGCATCTTTTGTGGCAAGTGCATGAAAACTCATGAGAGCCATTAAAACAGCTTAGGGGTATCTTAAGGCAGAAGCAGAAGAGCCTCAACCCTCATCAGTTTCATTCCAGGGAGGCAATCTCGATCTTCCTTTCGCACACAGAATCAATGTGGAGATCTTGCAACCGGATCAGCATGAAGAAAAACAAAGAAGGAACCGCAAACGACTGGATGAATAACCAGCACACCCCTGCCCTGATGATGTTACCTAGCCTGGTCCTGAAACATCTGCTGGTACAAGAAGCCAAGAACCTAACAGGCTGAAGACGACTACTTAACCAGGGTCAGGATCTGAGCTGAGTTGCAAATGCATCTCTGCCATTTTCAAATATTCATCTTTGCATTTATGTCTTGCCCTTCGCCTAGGACGGTGTTCCTCAACCTCAGCCACTTTAAGACAGGTGGACTTCAACTCCCAGAATTCCCCAGCTGGCTTTTACATTGAAAGCTCTGAATAATTTACCAGTTTCTAGTGTTAAAAGGAAGATGGATGAGGCACTCCTCTCCCCAAGGAGGGTGAATCTTGTCTTAAGCAGGAAGGCAGTTGTGCTAAAGGCTTCTCCAAAGGATGCCAAGAGTTGGCACGGCAAAATCGGAAGTCCACCTTGTCGCAGGCAGCCAATTGTGCATTAAAAAACATTCTGGCGGGATTAGAAATAGATTTTGCATTGGAGGGGACGAAGGCAAATCAGCAGCAAAGAATCTATTGCCTTACGTTTTTATTCTGAGCATTTTTGTTCATTCATTCATTCATTCATTCAACAGAGTTGGAAGGGACCTTGGAGGTCTTCTAGCCCAACCCCCTGCTCAAGCAAATCTTATATCATTCCAGACTGGTTGTCTAGTCTCTTCTTGAAAACCTCCCATGAAAAACTCCACAACCTCTGGAGGTAAACGGTTCCATTGATGAATTGTTCTCACTGTCAGGAAATTTCTCATTTCTAGATTCATTCAATTTCTATAGCCACCCATCTCAATCAATGACTCTGGACAGATCAGAATTTTTCGCCAAATTCTGGATTGAGAAGGGCCAAGCTTGGAAGATGTGTAGGACATCTACAAGCCAACAATGTACCACCTTCCACAAACCCTTCAAATCTTTTAAGCCTATCGCCTGCATTCAATGCGTTTTCTTTCATGCCAATTAATTCACAAGCAAAATCCAGTTATGGGAAATGTCCATTGGGTCATAAACTCTGACCCGTGGCGAGTTGTCGTAGACCCCTCCAGTTGGATTATCAGATCTTCCCAAATGAGGGAAAACCAGGAAGAAGAATGGTGAGGAGGAGGAGGAGGCCATTGATGGGTTAAGACAATCAATCTTTTGTGAGACAGGGATGTTTGCATATTGCTTTAGCCCTTGGGAATCGGCATCCTTGACAGATTGCCTTCTGCTGCGCTGCTCTGCTCGATGGCTCCTTTCAAGTTAGTTTTCAAAATGTTTTCCGCCTTCTTCCATCGCTGGGTAATTCATTATTCATCTGAGGCTGGTGTGCGGGGTATTGTTTGGAGACTGTGGAGATGCAGAAGCTTAATAATGGTCCAATTAAATTGTGTGTTGAACACCTGCCCAGCAGTAGATAACATTACCTTGATTGGAATCGGATAGCAACAGCAAACATGCTACAACATAAATACGGTTTGGGGGGGGGGGAAATGGTCTCAGTGGGTAAATAATGGTTTTCCTTTCCTTTCTCCTTACTTCTCTCTGTTTTTCGTTTTTTTTTTTTTTTCCGTGTAGACCTCCAGAACTTCGGGGGCAAAGATGCAGCTGCTGGAAACCGATTTTTCGCAGACGGTCCGTGACTTGATAGACCTTCACCTCCTGCAGCAGGACAGCATCCCTGCCTTCCTCAGCGCGGTCACCCTGGAACTCTTCAGTCGGCAGACCATGGCTTAGCCGCTTCGGCTGGGCCATGTAGTCCTTGCATCAGCTGCCCCTGGCTTGCAGGTGGAAAGGATTCGCAGGACCTCTGCTGAGGCACCGATCCGTTAAGATGAACCGGACTTTTTCTCTATTTCAGTTACTATCTGGGTATTTCAGGGCCCTGTAGCGATCCTTCAGTGTTTTTCCTATTTTCTGAAGAAGTAACCTAAAAATCCTTCCTTCCTTCCTTCCTTCCTTCCTTCCTTCCTTCCTTCCTTCCTTCCTTCCTTCCTTCCTTCCCTCCCTCCCTCTTTCCCTCCCTCCTTTTCTTTCTTCCTCCCTTCCTTCTTTCTACCCCTTCTTTCCCTCCTTTTCTTCTATCCTTTTCCTTCCTTCCTTCCTTCCTCCCTCCCTTCCTTCTTTCTAGCCCTTCTTTCCCTCCTTTCCTTCCTTCCTTTCCTCCTATCCCTCTCTCCTTCCTTCCTTTCTTCTTCCCTTCCTCGCTCTCTTCCTGCTTTCTAACCTTTCCTTCCCTCCTTTCCTTCCTTCTTTTCCTCCTATCCCTCTGTTTTTCCTTCCTCCCTCCCTCCCTCTCTCTCTCCCTCTACAGCTGTTCAAAAAGGAAGCATTATATATGCATATATTTCTCTAATCTTTCGCATCTTATTCTGTCCAGGTTTCTTCTCCCCTTTTTTTATATCATTTTATATCCTTTATATCATTCTGATATTTTCTGCGTATCTGCCCAGATGACAGCAATGCCATCCAAAGAACTGAGCAGCCATCTAAAGAGTGGAACTAGCCCCTCACCTGTAAAACCAATTTGATCTGCTCCACCTTCTGTTTAATGTTTCTCCTTCCGTTTGGAGAAGCCGAGGCGAGAATTGTTTTTAAGCTTGGAAGTGACAACCTGTGTATTAATGGATCAAGGTATCTGGCAAATAAAATTTGATTTGTGCGTTGCTGTTGTGTGCACTTTTATTCTCGAACCGTAACTGCAGTTTTTGGTGCAGGAACTGGCAGATACAGTGGGCTCTTGGGGAAAAAAACATTTTTCTGAGTAGACCATCCTGGAAACAGGACCTGGGCCTCTTTTTCTCTGGAGGAAGAGAGAGAAGAGTTTCACCATCTTCTTGTGAAACTGTGACACAAGGACAGTGGCCCTCAGAGGCAGCCTTTGGCTTGAGCCATTAACGCAATTGGTTTGAAATAATTGCTAAGAGCCAAGTTTCCTTCTCCCTCTCCCCCTCTCTCTCCCTCCCTCCTTCCTTCCTTCCTTCCTTCCTTCCTTCCTTTCTTTCTCTTTCTTTTTCTCTTTCTTTAATTTCGCTTTCTTTTTCTCCCTCTCCCTCTTTCTTTCCCTCTCCCTCTCTCTTCCTTTTACTCTCTTTTTCTTTCTCTTTTTCTCTTTCTTACTGTCCCTGTCCTTCTTTCTTTCCTTCTTTCTCTTTTTTCTCCCCCCCCCCTTTCTCTTTTTCTTTCTCTCTCTCTCTCTGCTGCTCAGGAGCTTGGCCTGAAGATGGATCACCTGCCCCTCAGCACCAGGGAAAGAGGTCCTGATTTGTATGCGCCAGGTGGTGTGGAGAGCTGCCTTCATCAGTCATGGAGAAAATGAATTGTGACGTCAGTGCCGGGTTCCTCAATTGGCCAATGAAAAAAGCCACAATTGCCTGTATAAAAAAATAAACCACCCACAACAACAATTCACTGCCATCTTCCAGGAGGGATGAAGTAATTAATAGTTTATTATCTTGGCAAAACAGAGGCGTAGGGGAAGGAACAGGCACCAGTTGTCTCAGAATTTGATAAAGAGCCTTCCTTCCATTGGGCAATGGCTTTCCAGAGGTTGGATTCGTGATCAAATGGATCCACAAAAGAGGGAAAGGAAATTCAGGGAGATGGTGGTGAAGCTCAGGTTTTTTTTACTTTCTTCATTCTGAGTATCTGTTTGAGCATGCACCTCTTTTTCATGTTTTCTTCAAACAATAAAGTGGGGAAACAGCCGACAAACTCAGTCAACTTTAAATAAAAGAGCTTGTCTGTAAGCTAATCTGGTCTTGCCAGGAAACAAAGCGACATGGGTCCTGCAGGCAATTCAGGGGGGAGAAAAAAGAATGTAGAAGACAAGAAAGAATACTTTCTCATCACAACCTCTCCCCATCATAACTGCGAGAAGCCCTGGTGGCATGATGGATGCATAACTTGTGAGTTTCCCCAAGTCATTTCTGACAGTTTCTCTCCCAGCAGGTAATCATGATAGCTTGACTATGGGAGTTTTGCAGGACCAACATTCTAACTTGAAAGAAAAAGGAAGATGATGTCTCTGGGTAAAGGAAAAAGAACTAAATCAAAGCCAACTCTTCGGATCTTCTGAGTCTCTCCATTACAGAAGAAGTTCAGATGTTCTGTTGCCCAAGGAGAGTCCATTAATGTAGTTCAGAGGTAGGCAACCTTGGCTCTTTTATGACTCGTGGACTTCAACTCCCAGAAATTCCAGAGCCAGCCATGAAATTTCTGGGAATTGAAGTCCACAAGTCATAAAAGAGCCAAAGTAGCCTACCCCTGATGTAGTTACACTTGTTATTGTTCCAGGCCTCTAAGCTTCTCTTTGAGAGTTCTGCTTGAAGGAATAATTGACTTTTTCTTGGTCTTTGTTTTCCTTCTCTCTGGTTGGGTGGCAGTGTGGATCCATCTCTCTCTCTGCCTCCAGGGTCCACTTGCTTCGTTTACCTTTGAAGTCTCCAACTTTGTCTGGTCTTCCACCACTACCTGATAAGATGTAAATTTGATATAGACAGAAGCTGCATTTAAATAAGGAAAGGGTAACGATGACCGTTAACCACGTTTGCTCTCTTGCATCTTTAAAATAACGAGAAATGCTCTTCAAGAAACAAACTCATTGCCTGCAAGGATTGAGAAGGCAATTTACCACTCTTCACTCCCTTCCTACATTCTGTGCAATTAAATTGACTAAACTGGTTGCTGGCCTCTTTAGACCTTCAACCCCCATCTAGTATACAGATCCTGTTCATTTTCAATCAAGTAGAGATGCTCTACTTGATGCTCTATGTGGTTCATAATACCTCTTGAAGAATGACCCAGGTCGGCTTTTTGAAGGTCTTATGACCAGGTTGCCAATATTTGGACAGTTGTGACTGCCAGATGAATATCTATGGAGCGTTGCACACTCTGGGAAGCAAGATTAGACCTTGATCTTGTTCCTTTCTAAACTCCCCAGGTAAATTATCCTTGTTGCCCATGGGTTGAAGATCAGGAGCAAGCAAGATGAGAACCTGCTGAAGAATTCTAGATGAACCATAGTAGATCAGGCTTTCTGGCTCCCAATCATTTATCCACAGATAAATGTTTGCAATCCCACCTTTAAAATCACCAACATTGTAACTTGAAATCATACTTGTTGAAAAACATTTTTAACTCATCTTTCCTCTGTGTATTAAGGACGTTGTAGCCTGTTGTAGACTATGTGTTGGTGAAATCTATTTCATTAGCAGAACATTTACCATATCTGCGATCGCCAGGTATATTATGGCTCCCTGGAAATTCTGTGTCCAGTTGTTGAAAAATGAAATAAAACCATGAGTGAATGACAGGAATCCAGATGGAAAAACTAGCTCATTGTCAAAGGATCCATGAAGGACAAACGATATAACTCTAGGCGCTTCAAGGCCAACCAGACCCTTGTACACTAATAGTAAAACTTCTGGAAAAGCTATAGCCAACAAATTGCACCTATTATCCCAAATTCCCTCCATCTGATTTTGTTGTTCTCTTCTGACTTTCATGATGAATGTGCCCAATTTTAGAAACTAATCCAACATTTCAATTGCAGCTTGGTTCTTTTAATTCATTGGTGGTTTTATTATTCTGTTTTTTCCCCCTGCATGTCTATGTCTGACTGTTAGTTGAACTTCAAGGTGCCCTAAAAGACTTTAAATAAGTCAACAGATCGTTATGAAATGATGAACCATTTGCCTCCAGAGCAGTTTTGTTGGCAAGACTTTGAAAACTATTCTAAATCAACTGTTTTTAGATCAGTCGTGCACCGCCTTGAGACGCTTGTTTGTGAGATGGTTGGCTATATAAATCAGTTTAATAAATAATAAATATCACTAGTCCAGATGTAGAGTTATACCTTCAAGACACCCCTTGCAATGGGGTCTATCATTCTTGCTTTACACACTGTAATATTTTAAAACAAGTTTCTCTTCCTAAAGTTATTGGGTTGTTTTTTTTTCTCCATTTGCAAAAAATATCTAAAATGATGGTAAGAGAAAGAGAGAAGAAAGAAAATCAAATCAATTGCCCATAATGTCAGATACAATGGAGAGAACCAGGCTGAGAAACTGTCCCAGGATAATATTTTTATTCCTTTCTCTCCAACTTTCCTGTGCGGATTTAATAAACCCCACTCATCTAGTTATGTCAATCTGTTCCGTTCCCGCTGTCACTGTGGGGTTGAAATAAGATATTTTAGTGTGAAGATTTGGCAAATGTAATGCCTCAGGTTAGCCCTGAGCTGATTCAGATGTTGGGGGCAGAAGGAAGACATCCAAAGAGTGTTGTTCTGCTGCTCCAGTTTCTGCTAGGTCCATCCGTGGTTGGCTCTCAGCTGCTACTCGTGAGTCAAGAATGCTGTGGTTGGTCACATAATGCAGAATAACAGAGTCAGAAGGGACATTGGAGGTATCCTAATCCAGGGGTCTCCAAGCTTGGCAAACTTAAGACGTGGGGACTTCAGTTCCCAGAATTGAAGATTTGTGGAATTCAACTCCCATGTCGGCTGGGGAATCCTGGGAGCTGAAGTCCACCGGTCTTAAACTTGCCAAGTTTGGAGAGCCCTGTTCAACCCCCTGCTGAAGAGCTATGACTCTGGGAAGTTTTGGATTACAAGTGAATCCTCTCTCTTTTTCTCTCTCCCAAATCCCAGATCCACTTTCTCCAATACGGTGCCCTGTAAATGGATCTCATTCAGCTCAACGCATGTGAAGGAACCAGCTGGTTCAGGTAATCTTCACTTAAACAGCTCCAGAACGTGTTCCAGAACTTAAACAAAACAATTGGTTTTCCGGATCCTTCATGTTTTAAGTAAAGAATTTCCAGATGAAAGATTCCCCAGCTTTTTAAGGGGTATAAAATTGAGAAATTGGGCGGCTGTCCATTGTGGTTCAACAAAGAGATTGGGTAATAGAGTTATTTTACTCTACTGATGGAATCAGCTTGCCTGTTCAGAAGAATCAAACATTCCAGATTGCGGGTACAAGAGTCAAATGATTGATTGCTCTTAACTGGCTTAACCTAGTTCAAATCTCAAATAAACCCTAGCTATGAGGAAGGAAGAAGACAGACGTGCTTGCCTCTTGCCCAGCAAATTGAGCCGTGCTTAATTTCTAATTTCAGACAGACCCAAACAGTATCCTTTGGCTCCTGTATTGGTATTAAGCTTAATGAGTGATTTTGTCCTCTTTGTTTGTCTCCTCGTATAACACTATAATTTACTTAATTACCGATAGATTCTTTTCCCTCTCTCTTTTTTTTTAGGAAACTTAAAATGGAAACTAAATTTTGCATCTCAGTTTACAGCCTGCTAACTAGAATCCAACAGCCAAGCTGGGGCTGGGTTCTTGAGAAGGTACGTTTTGCATATTCATAACATTAATAGGGTTCACAGGTATATTTGCAACAGATGAAAAGAATTAATTAAATCTCATCTGCATAAGGAGTGTTGCTTAACTGCTGGCGTCCTTTTAATGCCAGCAACGTCAAGAGATGGAGGTTGTTAAAAAAAAAACCAACAAAAAATAGTAATAATCAAGAAAGCAGAAATTGCCAGTAAGATGGGTATTTTATAATTGCTTCTGAAAGCTTTAGGAAACTAAATTGCAAAAAGTAGTTTTCTTAATCTGTATGGTTACGTCTCACTAACTTGACCAAAAAACAAACAAAAAAAACCAAAATTATATGCTTAAAAACAAATGTCTGTAAATGTTTGCTTTAGAAACTGCCCTCCAAACAGCCAGTTCTAATCTGGAAAGAATAAAATAAATAGTGACATCATGAAACGACGCTATTCAATCAACAAAAAAACCCGCAGAAATGTAGAGTAAGCACAACAGGCCGATATTTTGCACAGCAAACATAATGATGCTGTTCCAGATTGGCAGTTTTGGAAACCAAAAGGGTCGTGGTGAACTTTAGTTATTTCTTGTATTTTTACGTGGGTTGAACTTAACGGAAACATTAACCCCAGTTGAGTGTTTTAGAAGATGAAAGAGGTAGTGCCCATGGCAACGTGATCAAAGTCCATCGTTTTCTATGGAGGTTGTACATTAAAAAGGGGTGGAGCTTCAAAGGGAAGGCCGCCATTTTTATTTATTTTTTTATACCCTACGATGGATGACCTGGGCCATCTGCATATCGGTTGAAAATTGTGTTTGAAAAGTGGGGAACTGTCTTAAAAGTAACAGATTGCTAAAAAAGGAAGCTGAGAAGAAGACCAGTCAAGAGGACCACTGTTCTCCAAAACTCTTGAACTTTCTTCCATTCTGGTTTGTGAAATAAATAAACAGGGTCCAGACATCCAGAGAACGGGATCCCCTTGCTCCAAAGTCAAAGAAAAGCACATAAAATGCACGCATATATCTGGGAAATTGATGCCAGAGAATTAAAACTTCGTGAGGTGCATAAATGTGGGGGCTTCTTAACTTTGATTTACAACATGGATTCTTCCCCACCAGTGTATAAATCCTCTCTCTTAAAAGTTGGGGGTTTGTAAGTCTTCAACTTAATGGCCACAAATGAACCCACAATTTCTGCCGCTAATTGGGACAGTTGTTCAGTGGGTTTTTGCATCTTTCCCGCCACAGTTTTTAAGTGGAATGACTGCAGCTGTTAAGTTAGTACTATGGCTATTAAGCGAAACCCCCACTGACTTTGCTTGTCAGAAGGTCACAAACAGGGATCACAATCACGTGACCCTGGGACACTGTAACCATCATAAATGTGAGTCAGTTGCCAAGCTCCTCTCAATTTTGAGAGGCCATGGGGATGCCCCAAAGGTCATAAGTGTGAAAAACAGTCATAATTCTCTTTTTTCACTGCTGTTATAATCTTCAAACACTCATGAAATGTAATAATAATAATAATAAAGTTGGAAGGGACCTTGGAGGTCATCTAGTCCAACACCCTGCTCAGGCAGGAAACCCTATACCCTTTCGGACAAATGGCTGTCCAGTCTCTTCTTAAAAACTTCCTGTGTTGGAGCATTCATCGCTTCTGGAGGCAGGTTAATTGTTCTAACTGTCAGGAAGTTTTTCCTAAGTTCTAGGTTGCTTCTCTCTTTGATTAGTTTCCATCCGTTCCATCTGTTATAATCTCTCTCTCTTTTTTTTTTCTTTAACCCAAACTACAAACAGACTTCCTTTCTTGTTTACATGCACGGCCTCCTTAAACCCAGCCTGAATCCAGCCTGGGTCTTGCAGATGAGAAATAAATGCTGCTGATCAATTTTTGCTGCAGCATTGATGAAATCGCTTGTTCATCAAACATGAGAAGTGGCTTTTTTTTTCCTCCCAGTGACACAAATTAAAAAAAAAACACACATACAGCCACCTCTCCATTTTTATTGGGCTTTGAATAACTGCCCAGCACCTCTTGGCTTTAAATAGTTGCCAAACTGGAAAAGGGAACAGTTCTCTAATCAATCTGGAGAACCGAACAGCTGAGTCATTTGCACCATCCATCACAAGGAACATAAATACTGCTTGGCCAGAAAGACACAACGGAGGAGGAGAAACATGTGGAGCCCCGCATCTATCCCACCATCCTTAGTGAGAGAGCCCCTTGCCCATCTTTCTGGCTCCCTCCCTCCCTCCATGGAGAGACCCTTCCCAAACCAACCTTCACGTTGAAGAAAGTTCCCTTGGGCTATCCTTGGGAAGGCACTTCGTTTTTCTTACTCCTTGTTCTGAAAGCATCCATCATTCTGAGGCTGGTTAGAAGCAAGCAAGGAAATGACTTCGGTGAAAACGAAGCTGGAATTAAAGAGCTGTCACTGGAAGAATTGTGGGAACGATCTCGAAGTTGAGGTGCCATCAATTAGGTGTTTCGAGTCTCAGAGGGCCAACTGCCATAGATTTAGTGGGCCAATGGGCCCCATAGATTGAATGTTCATGACCTCAACTGTTGGGTCCATGTGACCCGTAAAGATTTCACTGGAGACCATAAAAGGGGGATATCTATGGGGCCAGGCTGATGGTGGGAGTTGCTTTATGAGTTTGAGACTGAGAATGGTAGGGCTTTGCTCCCTGGTCTCGCTTCTTCTACTACCTGGAGAGACATCACAATGGTTACTAGGGAGATACAGGTAATCCTTAACTTACAAACACCCGCTTAGTGACATTCCAAGCTACCATGTTACTGAAAAAAGTGACTTATGACCGTTTTCCACTCTTAAAACCGCAGCAACATTCCCATGGTCATGTGATTGAAATTCCAATTCTTGGCAACTGGTTCGTATTTACGACGGTTGCAGCTTCCCAGGGTCACATGATCCCCTTTTGCGACTTTCCAACAAGCAAAGTCAATGGGGAAGCCAGTTTCACTTAACAACCAGGTTACTAATTTAGCAACTGCAGTGATTCACTTAACACATGTGACAAGGAAAGGTCCAAACTCACTTAAAAACTGTCTCGCTTAACAACAGATATTTTGGACTCAGTTGCTGTAAGTTGAGGACAAGCTGGATTGATGTTTTCACCGCAGCATCCATAAGGTCCTTTAAGTTTCACCACGGGACTTATTCCAGGAATAACAAACCATCCACATAGGATCTCAGTAAATATTTACCTTTTTTGGTACTGCATCTGTAATGGCCTTTATCTTACAACACAGTCTTATAAAGACAAAATATCTCTCGATGTCTTTAATAGCAATCCTAACAACACTCTGGGCGACCTCTCTCTGGAAATTACTATGAATCGCTTTGAGCAGTTGTAAAAATGTGGGGCTTATGGATCCGATCAAAGGCACGCTCGTAGAATTTGTAACTATTGGGAGAATTCTGCAAACCGCTAGGAAGACTTGATCTTCGTTTTAAGGAGCCATGGGAAACTGGGGGATCCTCTGGTTTTTCAGGAGCCAAGGATCCCAGCATCTGATGTCACCAGGAGAAGCCAGTTTGATGTTGGTGCATTTCCTACTTTTGGGGTAGATTTTTTTTTTTTTTTGCTCCGGATTTAAAAAAACATAGAGCTGTCAAGCTTCTCGGAAGTTTAAGACATCCATTTTTATTTCTTGTTTTCTAGTGGGAGAGAAAGAGAGAGAGAAAGCACCGTGGCCTCTCAAAGAGTAGAAAAAGAGGCTGGAAACCACTGCAGCCTCAAAACCCTTTTAATGCCATGCTCTAAAACCAGTTTCTCCCCCCCAATCTTGGCCACTTTAAGATGGGTGGACTAGTGCATGCTGCTATAGAAATGTAAACAGTTGAGATTTGATTCTAATGTCTGACTTTACTGCAACAGACAGAGTCGGAAGTCAATACCTTTTGTTTCTTCCCCATCCCTTTCTTCACATCTTTTTTGTTTTCCATTTTTCTACTGTTGTCCCCTACTATTTGCTTTTGTATTTTCACGTTTTATGTTATAAATGAATAAAACTAATAATAATAATAATAATAATAATAATAATAATAATAATAATAATAATAATTGTGGACTTCAACTCCCAGAATTGCCCAGCTGGCAGATCTTGTTTTATTCTTCATGACTTGATTTTGCTTTGGGTTTGTTTGGTTTTTTTTTGCTGTGGTCCCATTATAAGGACTTGGTGTGTTCCCCACTTTTCCCCACCTTTTTTCATTCCAGCTCATCCCTCTTAACGCTATCCCCATCCTTGGTGTTTAATCTCGCGGGCTCTCCAGTTTGAGGGGTGTTTCATTTCTTCACTTGCATGGCACCCCTAAAGAAAGCAAAGGCCAACATTCCACCTGACCCCTTCTGAAGAGCCATGAATGGACAGAAAGCTTAAGAAAGCTGAAGCTGAAGACCGTAGAAGACAAGCACTCAAATTGTACACTTTTCCTTGACCTGTGCTTATATTTCTTTCTGGGCTTCCTCCAACCCATAATTTCATTAAGACTGAAGAAAAAAACCCATTAAGGGTTTCCATAAACATATGCTTGCCTTGAGACGTTTCATTGGGGACTAAAACAGAAGAAAGAAAGCCAGGCTCCCTCGCCTGCTGCTTTCTTACCAAACTAAACTTCAAAGACTGGGCATTAAATCTCACAATCCTTTTCCTCCTGCTGGGCAGTGAAAATGCCATAATAATAGCACATGAGTGGGCACACCATTTGCTCTCTTCCATAAGACCCCACATCAGCTGCTGGAGGTGACCTCCAAGCTAGCCTAATGGTAGGGCCGGCCATCTATAAACATCCCATTAAATAAATCGGCTTCCATTTCTTCCTGCTTCCTGGAGGAACTCAAGCTGGTTTTGTTGAAACACTCTCCCGCTACTTGCGGCGTTCTCTCTGCAGATTCCACAGGCTAAATTTTATTTCTCCCTAGTTTTTCTTCTTCTTCTCTTCCTCTTTTCCTTCATTCCACCAGATACAATCGACGCCAAACAGGGTCCATTCTTGACAGGCACAAGAGATACGTTGACCTGGTAGGATCTCATCTCTGCTGACATCTCAGTGTTTGGATGTGCTGCTTAACAAGGACTTCCTCGTTATTTTTTTTTCCTCCCGGCTAAATTGGTTCCCTTGTTGAACTGTTTTCTTTCCTCGCCTGCCATCTTACTTATGAGGCTGTTGCTTGTTGCAAGATTTTGCTCTTCTGAAAAGGGTAAAGTGCCAGGCTCTGAAAGGGCAGCTTTGAAAGGTTGTCCTTTCCTCCCCCTCCCCTTCTGAAAATAACTCTTCACATCTTGAGAACGGGAGACATTTATCCTCGTGGGCCACGTCAACCAGGTCACAGCTTGAAAAGGTGTTGGGAGCCCTCAGAACACCAAGGTGGTCTTGACTTATGAGCTCCTTGGGAGTCTTACATCTTTGTCCCTTGTGGCCCCCAAGAAGGGACTTCCAAGGGTTTTAACAGAATAACAAGAGTTGGAAGAATGTCTGTGGAGATTCTCAGTCATCCAGGTCATGGTTGCCCCAGTAGGTGCTCTTCAAAAGGCAACTGGACTTTCTCAGTTTTTCCTTGAAAACATTTTGCTTCTCATCCAAGAAGCTTCCTGAGTTCTAAGTTGAAGTCAGAACCGAAGAAACCTCTTGGATGAGAAGCAAAATGTTTTCAAGGAAAAAAACCAACCAAGGAAGTTTGTTGCCTTTTGAAGAGCACCTTTGGGACAACCATGACCTGGATGAGGTCTCCTTGGTCCTTGGTGGTCTTCTCAGTCCTTGGAAGTCCACCCCTTGCCCACTCAACCCAACCCAACTCTTGGGCATGTTCCCAATCACTGCAGGAATTAACTTGACTCCACAGATGGCACTCCTCAAAGACACAAGAACTCCACAAAGTGTTGGCTTAATAGGAGAATAACACATCAAGCGGCTGTCATGGTATGTCGGCAGAAAGGAGAAGCTTGTTTTCCCCACTTTGTCATTCCGCCTGCTGATCAGCACTCAGAAATGCTAATAGATTCAGAATTGGGTTTCCAAACTGCTGCTCTGCCGCTGGGGGCTAAAAATAGCGTACTGTGGTGCACCACAGTTGGAGCTTTCACTTGTTGATCCAACTTGTTTTGTAGGAACAGATGAGCAGGCAAAGCTCTGTCTAATTTTGACCTCTCCGTCTTGGACATGTGCTTTCCTGTCTTGGATTCCTTCTTCCTCTTTTCCCAAATCTCCATTTTATCTTCAGACTGGCACGTCCAGCATCCTATTTCTATTTAGTTGCCCTGGGAACGCCAGTCTTTTGAGGAATGCTCTTTGTGGTCCATCTGAGTTTTTCTCCACCACATTTTGTAACCAACAAAGTCAAGCTGGAGTGTTTTTGAGTTTCTTTCTCATCTTTCTACCATCTTTTTTGGAACTGGGTCATTTCTTCTGCTGTGGTTTTTTTTATAGTCCACTCCTTCCTTCCCAAAGTCTGTTCTACATATTTTAGAGGAAGGCAATTAAACTGAACATCAAACAATGTCTCTCATCCTATCCCTAGCTCTCACTAGGTTCTTCACGAGGACCCCCAGATATTTTCCCTAATTAATTACAGAATAACAGAGTTGGAAGGGATCTCAGAGATATTCTAGTCCAGCCACCTGCTCAAGCAAGAGACCCTATACCATTCCAGATGAATGGCTGTCCAATCTCTTCTTGAAAACCTCCAGTGATGGAGCACCCAAGCCAGTGAGAAGGTATTGGAAATTACCCAATGCAGGTATTGGAAATTACCCAATGCTTCAGTCCCACCTCAGAAGACCCACAGGCAAGATCCCATTCCAAGTTGACTTCAATTTATTTCCTAGCTTTATAGCGTTGGATCCAGACAAATTGAAACTAGCTTTCTGCTCAAAGAGATTTCGTCCGCTTTCAGCTTTGCATCCAAGCTGGTGAGATGCCACCAGAAGCTCAAAAGGATGGGGGGGGGTATATAAACTCATGCTCAACCCTTGAGAAGTTTGCATGTCACCACTTTAAAAGCCAATAGCTATTGGCAAGTTTATCCTCAGATTTGTATATACGTGTTTTGTTTTTAATGTTGCGTCTTATACCCGGGAGTTCCTAGGAAGAAAAGTGTTAGGGTGTGTCATTGAACTATTTTTTTTCCATTTCAGGCAGGAAGCTGCTGCAATCTATCCTAATAACATCAGAGCACGATTTTCTTCTCTGTGTGCTGTGTGTAATTTAATGCACATCAATCATATCACATCACCTCTACTTCTGAAAATGCATTTCCTTCTCTAAGCAAAAAGAAACCGTCTCAAAACAAATTAGCTTTTTCTCCTGGGGAGGTTTAGGCCCAGTGCCTTTAGCCTGGGGACTCTCTGGGAATCAGCTTGGTCTATTTGAAGCCGGGCAGAAATATTTGACTGGTTTACCATTTTCCTGCTGTCAGCCACATCCAGCAAAGTATTGAACTGAGCAACATTTCACTCAACTTGTCTTAAGGGCTGTGTTGAATGCCACCACCCCCTCTTCTTGCTGGAAGAGCTTCAGACAAAGCCTTGAGTAAACCTGTATTTAATCCCCAGACTGTGCCTTGTTGTGCTTTTTTTTTTTTTTTTTTTTGCTCCCAAAGCACAAATGTGAAGGTTTGGGCATGTGCTTAACTTCCACTTGTATTCTCACTTGTGATAATGAGAGGGTTGTGTTATTTTTCTGGCATCTTTATTCAACAGACTAAACAAAGGCCCTTCTTTGGGTTTTAGCTTTTAAAGCAACATTGTGCAACATTCCTCCCTTCTCACCCCAGCGTATTCGACTTCTGGACCAGGACTGCCAGCCTTAGGGAAGACAGCTTCAGCCTACAGAACGTTGGATCCAGCCCTGGCAATGTGGCAGATTTCAGCCACATCAGAGCAATTTAAACAATTGTGTCTTATGGCTAGAGAGACGTTGTGGGTGCTCCATCACTGGAGGTTTTCAAGAAGAGACTGGACAGCCAATTGTCCAGAATGGTGTAGGGTCTCCTACTCCAGCAAGAGTTGGACTAGAAGACTTTCAAAATCTCTTCCAACTCTGTTGTTCTGTTATTCTCCAAAGCACCTCAGGGCAGGACAAGAAGTAATGAGTGGAAGCTTGTTAAAGAGAGATCCAATCTAGAATTAAGGAGAAATTTCTTGACAGTGAGGGAAATTAACTAGTGGAACAGCCTGCCTCCAGAAGTTGTGGATGTTCCATCCTTGGAAGTTTTTAAGAAGAAACTGGACAGTCATTTGTTTGAAATGGCATAGGATTTCCTGCTTGAGCAGGGGGTTGGACTAGAAGACCTCCAAGGTCCCTTCCAACTCTATTCTATTTTAATCTCTGAAGTCCTTTCCAACTCTGTTATCTTGTTACGTGGGCTCTTAGGAGAGACAACTGTGTCCCATAGACGTACGACATCAACATTATGATGGGTAGCAGGTTGAATTCAAATGAGTAGTACTTGGAGAACTTGGAGTTTAACTTGTGTGACGTTAACCAAGCCCAGACACCTATAAGTTGTGCAGAAGAGGAACACAAGTGGCCCATTCTCACTAGGGGAGCTTGGAGAAGGAGAAAGATGCCTTACTCAAGCGTGACAATCCTGTAAAGTGGACATGCTAAGATCATCTGCTTTGCTACTCACCTGCTCCCAAGGGATTCATCACTCGTTATTCCTGTTGCATCTCCAACGGACTTCACCACCCTTGGTGGACCTCATGACCCACCCATGGAGCAAATTTAACCAAATTCATGAAGGGATGGAGGAGCAAGAGACGAGAAGCAGTTTTGGCATGTTTTCTAGACCAGGCAGGTGGAGGGCAGTGTAAACCTGTGTCTTTGGTTGTCGTGTCTGATTTTAACTTTTTATGTTTTCACTTAGATGTAAGTGTAAGGCCCCCCCCCCAGAGTGATCCTGCGGTAAGATGGGCAGTCAATAAAATGTATAAATAAAGATGGTGCTCCCTCCCCAGGGATGTTGTTTAGAGGCTCAAAGTTGAGTATTCTGGGCTATTGTTCCATTCTAGGGGATTGCTGTGCCAGGGAGGAACTTGTGGGTGCCACAAAGAGGAAGAAGAGGAGGAGGAGGAGGAGACTTGCCAGAGGTAAACAACCTGCTGCTCCCCAAAATGCTCCATTAAGGGCTTCTGATCTAGACCAATCACCAAGGGTGACTGGTCACCACATACACACACATACACAGACTCTTCTTGCAGTCTCCCCTGGGCCTCGGCTCCTCTTCGGAGCAGATGTCATCATTTTGCGTGCACGCTAGTCAAAATCACTTGGAGATAGGAAAATAAGAGCTGAGGCATGCAGCTGCCGGGGAGCTCTGGTGCCCACTGGGTCTGCCTTGCAAAAAAGAGCGGAAACCAACAAGCAAGCAAAGAGACAGCTGGGAACGTTTGTCGAATGGAAGGCATGTGTGTGAGACAGAGTTTGTGTATGTGCATGTGTGTGTGTGCTTGTGTGCGCAACTGGATTACATAGCAACAAGGCGGCTGAGGGCTAAGCAGCGATGTGTGCATTCGGTTACCAGGTTCAGCTGCGATGTTTCGTTCTTGGGGGGCAGAACTGTTGAAGGTCCCTGGCCAAGCTTTGGGGAACAGCAGGGGAAGAGATTGGTTCAATGGGGTTGCCCCCACCGCCGGTTAACCTTCTCCCTTTTTGAAGTTTCCCGGAACTCAGTTGCCCAAAAGGTATAAGCCACTTTGGGGATTTGGCTAGAAATGAAAACTGCAGTTCCTGGATCCATCCAGCTGGCACCATCCAGCAAGGTAGAAGACCTAAGAAGAAAGTGCAGGAGAAAAGAGGTATTTGTGGGACATTCTTGAAAGTGAGAGAGAGGAATCAGAGGATTGGGGGGGGGGTCCCTGGTACTCTCTGAACTTGTTTGTTTTCTTAAAGACATCTCATTACCCAATTAGGTAACATCATCCGTTCTAGAAGGGAGTGGGGTTTGCAAGGAGAAGGAGGAGGAGGAGAACTTGGTGGTCATTGAGCTTGGTTCTTTTTTTGCAGATGTTTTATTACCCAACTAGGCAACATCATCAGTACTAGAAGGGAGTCGGGTTTGCTCTCCAAGTCCTCTGAGTGAACCTCAAGGACCCCACAGTTGGACCCTGACCCACAAATATTCCCTTCTATCAGTACACTGCTATTGTTTGTGTTCCAAAGTGGTACAATCCCACACCCAGAGGGCCTGGATTTGATGGATGCATGATGGGTACGGAAGTCCTCTCCACCTCTCCTGGTCCGCCCTGGGTCAGTGAAGCCCCCACCTTTCCGGAGGCTTCATCCTTCCCTGATTCTGTGACAGTGAATGGCGTTTGCTAAGAGATGTTTCTCACCCTAAGGATGGATTTGATCGGGTTGCCAGCTTTTGTCAGTGGATCAACTGACTCTCTGAAAAACGGAGCAGAAGTGCGGTGAAACACATCACGGAGAATGGAAACACAAGCTGTGCGTTCAGTGTATGAGGGCAGGATCTTAGAAGGAGCACACAGGAAGGAACTGTTGTGTAGCAGTAACAAACCTTGAAGGTTTTCCCCCAATTTTCAAGACTAATGAGAAAATCAATCTGTTCCCCCCCTCCTTATTGTGTATAGGTAGTCCTCAACTTACAACAGTTCATTCAGTGACCATTGGAAGTTACAACGGCACTGAAAAGAGAGACTTGTGATCCCTTTTCACACTTACGACCGTGGCGGCTTCTCTGTGGTCACCTGATCAAAATTCAGACACTTGGCAACTGGCATGTACTTTCGACAGTTGCAGTGTCCTGGGCTCACCAATCCCCTTTTATGACCTTCTGACAAAGTTAATGGGGAAGTCAGACTCATATAACGACCGCATGGCTAACTTAACAAATGCAGTGGTTTGCTGAACGACCAGCACTCTAACTGCTGAGCCGAGGTGGCGCAGCAGTTAGAGTGCAGTACTGCAGGCCACTTTAGCTGACTGTGTTCAGCAGGTCAGCGGTTCAAATCTCACCGGCTCAAGGTTGACTCAGCCTTCCATCCTTCCGAGTAGGTAAAATGAGGACCCAGATTGTTGGGGGCAATGTAAAATATATATATACATTGCTTACTGGTGTACACCGCTTAGAGAGTGCTTGCACTTAAAGCGGTATATAAGTCTCATAAATAAATAAAATAAATAAATAAGACAGGTTGCGAAAGGGGGCAAAACTCACTTAAACAACTGTCTCACTTAGCCACAGAAATTTTGGGCTCAACTGAGATCGTAAGTCAAGGACAACCTGTAATGTAATATTCTTCGGATGGATTTCTAATGAACTGGAAGTCGGCGGAAAACGGAGACAGCAAAGAGGCACCTTCCCCAAATCTCGTCCAGCAGGAACCATGACCCAAAGCAAAAAACATGAAACCAGGAACCCAGTGATAGAGGCTTTTTTTTTCTTTTTTCTAAAATCCATGATTAAAACCTGGTACAAACAGGTGAATATATAGATATATTTCTTTTAGTAGATGTAATTTTTTCTCTTTCTCCTCTTTCTCTCTCTCTCTCTTTCTCTCTCTCATTATACAGCAAATATAGAATTTCTTTTCTCTCTGTACAATAGGACAGTTTTACAATGCAACGTTGCGACAGATCCTTTCACCAAAAAAATAAAATTCTAAAAAAATTTGCACAAATGGGACTTCAGGCGAGTAATAGTCTAAACTGGAAGACTCCATTTGCAAAAGGCCCAAAGGATTATCTTTCTTTCTTTCTCTCTCTCTCTCTCTCTCTCTCTCTCTCTCTCTCTCTTTTTTAACCACAAATGAAAAAAGACCCTCCTGCTAACTTTTCTAATTGCTCTCTTTTGTTCAGCTGTTTTACATTTTGGTTACTGAAAGGATGAAGACAAAGCTGTACAGAGTCCACAAAATTCACAGAATAAGGAGCCATGCGATGCGGTGGTGGTTACGCCACACTCCTTTCATTTTCTGTCTGGCTCTCTTAAAATGTTTGCACTTCTTTCTCTCTTAAAATTCAATTTTACTCGTGTGTGTGTGTGTGTGTGTGTGTGTGTGTGTTTGTGTGTGTGTGTGTGTGTGTGTGTTTAAAGAAAAGAATTTGGTTTTTTCCCCCACCCCACAGTTTATTTTAATGTTTAAGCATCTTTCCTTTCACTACTCTCGTTTCCTCGCCCCTCTCTCCTTTCTAAAGCCCACCTCAGCAAGACCGTAATTCCGAATAGCACTCGTTCTCTCCTCAGCCTGCTCTAGAATAGTTATAGGTTCCTCAGTTCTTTTTTTTTTTTCCTCTTTCTTTTAAAGACAAGTCTGGATTAAAAATAATAGCTGCTGCTGATTTTTGTTTCTGTTTTTTGTTTTTTTTTGGTCCGTGGTTAAGTCACGAGCCGGTGGAGAACTCAAGACTTGTGCTGGGCGGAAACCCCTTTCCAATAATCTAAGATGTCGTGGAGGTCTTCATCTTTGGCAAACTGGACCTTTTTGCGCAGAGCGTGGCCGGCCGCCATATATTCCTCCTCCTCTTTGTGGCGCTTGTGGTTCAGTTTGAAACGCTCCCAGATGCTCCTGGAGGGTTTACAAGTGTATTCGGGGCTGGAGGTGTAGCTTAAGTTATGGTACTGTGGAGAGAGCTGCGAGTAGGCCAAGTCTCTGGGGCGAGGCCTGGTCAAAGGTTCCAAGATGGAGGGCTTTCGTGTCCCCAGGCTGTCGTGTTGTTCCCCCTGATGGGACCCTGGATAAGAGTGTCGGTGCTCGCTGTACTGCCGGATCTTCTCGGCTTCGGCTCGTAAGACAGCTGCCGCTGGTGTCACAGTGAGAATGGTGTCGGTGGTTGGAGATGTCTTCTCAATATATTTGGCTTCTGACTTGTGGCCAGAGCCCTCAGAGCGGAAGGACCTGGGGCTCCGTATGGAGCCACTGGAAGAAGTGCTGGACCGTTTAGGAGGAGCCTCAATGCTGTGGTGCCTCTGGAGCGGGTGGCTATAGCTTTCCTTGTAGACAGGCGCTAGGAAGCTATGCTTGCTAGGGATTTGTTCAGACAGCAGCACCAGCTGAGGCTCGGCGGTGGACACCGCTCCTGACTTTACCCCTTGAAAGGAAGTAGATTCTGATTTCAAGGCATCGATGCAGTTGTTGATGATCTGGTTCACCTTGTCCACCTCTTTCGTGATGGTCGAGATCTCCGCGACGGAACTCTGGCTATCCTGAGGCCTGGGTAGCTCCAATTCTCTCCTCTCAGACTGTTCCCCTGTCCGCACTTCCATGTAGTTGCCCTTTGTGGCTTTGGGGGTCTCGCTGCTGTCAATCAACTTGTACTGCTCAACTTCTCCCACGGAAGGCAGGTAAGGGATGCGGGTCATGGTCTCACCACCCAACATCTGACCTTGGGAGAGTTGGGAGATGCTGGTGGTCTCCATTTCTGGCCCGTACTTTAACTCAATGATGGTCTTCTTCATATTCACTGTTGTTTTTTTGTGCTTTTCTTCCTGGTGTCGCCTCTTCCGGAGGCAGTAGTACACAACTCCTAGGACAATCACCATGCCAAACAGGCACCCCAAGATTGTCATGATGTAGTGGGTGGCAGTTGAAGGCCTGGGTATCGGCTCTTCGGTGCTCTGCTTGTTGAGATTGATGGTGAGGCAGGTGTAATTGTACCTTGAGACTCGATTGGAGGACATCACACAATAGGTATAATTTTCGTTTGGGCCTAGATCCGTTAGCTCGATGTCTTCTTTCTTCTTCAGAAGCTTTGCCAGGATATTATATCGGCCGTTCTCAAATTGGGCCAGGGTGTACATCTTGCTGTATGGCACAGGGATCTGCACACTCAACACAGCTGAGTTTTGGGTCACGTGCTTGACTTTCATGGTGGGATACAAACCTGGATCAATCACTGGGGTGTGCAAGGAGATCTGGGGTGTGGTGCCATCTCCGGAGAAACACTCTTCCTCTGGACAGGGGCTCTCTGGAGGAGAGGTGGTCACTGGTTTTTTGGGTGGGATCAAATAAGGTGGCATGGTGTAGGGCCCACCAGTGCAAAGAGAAGACAGCATGCCCAATGCATTGCGATATCCGCTCCGTCCTTGGCCAAGAAGATAGTACCCAGAGTAGTCGGGTGGAGAGTCACACTGCATGCGGTCGTAGGTACGTGTCATGTTGGTGAAGCCCTCAAGCCACTGAAGGAAGCCCAGGAGCTCGCAAGAGCAATAGAATGGGTTGCTGTAGAGTTCGCAGACAGAGAGTTTACTCAGGCCCCTGAAGGTGCTACTGTCCAGCCGTTGGATCCTGTTCATGGACAAGTCAATGTTCATTATGTTGGGGCACTCCCCGAAGGCATTGGGGGTGACGGTCTCAATGAGGTTTGCCTGGAGGTAGAGGTACTCCAGCTTCCCTAGGCCCCGGAGGATCCCCTCCGTCAGATTCCTCAAGCGGTTATAGCCAAGCTGCAGCACCTGCAGGTTGTATTGTCCTGAGAAGGCACCATCCTCGATATACGAGATCTCGTTCTTGGTCAAGTTGAGGTATGTGAGGTTACTGAATCGGCTGAGGGAGGAGAACTGGACGCTCTTGATCTTGTTGTCATTCAGCCTCAAGTCCAGAATGGTGCTGTTGATCTGCTGAGGAATGGACTCGTAAGGGGGCTGGTTCTGGCTACAGATGGCCAGCCACACAAAGCCCTTTTCTCCTTCAATCAGCCAGCAGTCGGCTTGGACCTCGCTCACGTAGAGGAGAGAGACAGCTGCCATATAGGTGCACAGTGCTGATGTCATGGCCCACTGATGGCCTGCCATTGAGAAGGGCCACACCGAGAGGGGGGGTCTTACCCTTGGTCGACCAAAAGAGGGGAAGAGGCAGCTCGGTCACGGCACAACCCTGCCTTGACTAGAGTTTCTTCAGCAGCTTTGTCATTCTTTCTTCCTTCTTCATGGTGCTGAACCATGAAGAAGCATCTGGGGTGGGCTAGTGAAGAGTAAGAAAAGAACTTGTTGGTTACCCAGAGTCAAGGTTTCCCACATGCCATCAGCAAAGACTCTGCGGCTGGGGAGTTGACTGTCTCACCATCATCTAAGAGAGGTTTGGAAGTCACTCAGAACATAAGGGACCTGGAATGAAGAAGCCCCTGTTTCAGACATGAGCTTTGCTCTCTTTTCCTGGATTGATTTTTCTGCCTTTCTTTTTGTCATTGGTCTTCATTTGAGTGCTGGGTTCCTTCTCCATCCTTCCTCTCCAGGTCTCTGTTCCTCCAGAGATGTGAAATCACAAGGCTGACCTGCCAATGAACAAGGAGAGAGACAATATCAGCATGTAATGGGCTCTGAGCAGGTAGGAAAGCACGGCTGGGAACCTACCAATCTTTCCTTCTAGAAATCTATGGAGATTCTCAATCGTCCAAGTCATGGTTGTCCCAAAAGTCCTTTTCCAGAAAGCAACTGGACTTTGTTTCTTTCTTGAAGACATTTCACTTTTTATCCAAGACGCTTCTTGAGTTCTGAACTGAAGAAGCTTCTTGGATGAGAAGTGAAGCATCTTCAAGAAAAAAACAAAGGAAGTCCAGTTGCCACTTTAAAAAAACACCTTTGGGACTTTCCTTCTAGATGTTGACTTCAGACTTCCCTCTCTAATTGCCACCAACTCCAGCACCCCCAACCATCTCATCTTCTCCAAGTTTCCATTTTCCTTCTCGCCCAGGTCAGTTTATCCATAAATCTAGGAGCCACTAGTTACAAAAAGAAAGCACGGATGAAACAGTGGTGACACTTTACATAGGATTAATGTTTTATCTGGCAAAGAAATTGAGACTTTTTTCCTCTGGCTTCCATTCTGCCTGCAAAACCGATAGTTAACAAGAACCGGGACTACTCCTTATGTGTGACATAATCAAAGGAGACATCTCTAAAACGGCATGGCAAACATATATTAATGATGAAGTCTCTACTAAATGGCTAAATGTCCATTTTGTATATGTCAGGTGCAGTAAAGATGCTTTAAGGCAGATCCCTCTTGATATTCTTCTTCTCCCTTGTCCTTTTCCACTTTTAGACCTGGAATTCAAGCTGAGTTTCTAGACCCTCGTCTGGCAAACTTGGTTAGAATGACTGCCGAGCTGAATATAAAGAGGCCCTCGGTTTTGACCTGAAATGATGCACTAAGCTGGATTTTGCATTATGCACCAAACTGTTCTCCTGTTCATATTTTATGATTGTATAAGGAGACTCCAGGCAATTTCTATGTCTCGCCGAGTCTCATTTCATACAATTTTGAGGAAGAAGGAAAAAAATGGATGGTGGGCAGGTGAACAATTCCTGGGCGAAACATCAAGAGTTAGGAGATGCCAAGGCTGGCAGAGGGATACCAATAGAAGGGAATTTCTGTAGCTCAGGGTTGAAATGAGGGGTCTTCGGTGCTCTCTGAGTTTGGCTGTTTTCTTGCAGACATTTTAGTATCCAATTAGGGAACGAAACAGTGCTAGAAGGGAGAGCAGTTGATGGAGGAGGAGATGGAGGAAGAGAAGGAGGAGGACGACAAATACTGGGTTCTTGGTGCTCTTTTGAGTTTGGTTGTTTTCTTGCAGATGTTTTATTACCCAACTAGGAAACATCATCAGTGCTAGAAGGGAGAGGGGATGGAGAAGGAGGAGATGGAGGAGGAGGAGGAAGAGGAGGAGCAGGAGCAGGAGGAGCAGGGAGAACAGGAGGAGAAGGAGAAGGATTGTGGTGTCCTTAGAACTCTCCCAGCTTGGTTGTTTTCTTGCAGACATTTCATTACCCAACTAGATACCGTCATCGTGCTAGAAGGGAGTGGGCTTTGCTCTCTGTTTATACACAGTTGTTTCTATAAAGTTTTGTCCCATATTGTTCTAGCAGCCAACAAGAAAGAGCAGATCTTTTTTTAAAATTCTGAATTCTTTTTTTTATTCTCAATTCATCTGAAACCAGAAGGGAATCTCCAGATTTACATATGTTGCTCATCCAAATCTACGCCCATAATAAAATTATGCCCTCTTCCACAAAATGTCTGACAACAAACCTCTCTAGAGAAACCAAGATTGATCATTAATAATCTAACGCTAAAGGGGTAACATCTGTTTTGGACAAACTGTAATGAGATTTAAAACCAAGGGAGAAGAACTCTGCATTAATAAATGACTTGTATGTCTAAACAGTTTACCCACATACACACACAGCACACAAGCAATTGATGCTCTCTTTTTTAAAAAAAGAAAAAAAAACAGTGGGCCTTTCCCCCGGTTCTTCCTCTGTGCAATTCCTATATAATGATTGCTATTAATTTTCAGAGTGGCAGATGGAGCCTAACTTTAACCTTGTATTATTTGAAATGAAAATCCATTTTCCAGGGGTTATTTTTTTTCTTTCTGAATAAGGGTTTTTGAAATCTATCTCATTGGAAGGTAAAGGAAGGCTTGCAGGACTAATCCTATCAGCGTCTTCTGGAAAGGAAAACCAATGTCAGTGTGACTGGTCCTTGTCCTAGCATCGCAGATGTGGAGAATGGGAGAGGATCTCCATACTTCAAGCTCTGAAGCTGGAGAAACACTGGGTTATGTAGTCCAGTGTTTCTCAACTTTAGCAACTTTAAGAGGGGTGGACTTCCACTCCCAGAATTCCCAACTAGCATGCTTGAAGATGGGTGGACTTGCACTCCCACAATTCCTAGCCAACGTGCATTAAGATGAGCGGACTTCTACTCCCAGAATTCCCAGCCAGCATGCTTGAAGATGAATGGACTTCAACTCCCAGAATTCCCAGCCAGCATATTTTAAGATGGGTGGACTTCGACTCCCAGAATTCCCCAGCCAGCGTGCTTTAAGATGGGTGGACTTCTATTCCACCTATATTAAAGCATGCTCAACTCACAGAATTCCCCATGCTGGCTGGGGAATTCTGGGAGTTGAAGTCCACCCATCTTAAAGTTCCCAAGATCAAGAAACACTGCTCTAATTTGATGCATTATTCAAAGGAGACGTGATTGAGTCACTCCGAGGATCAGTGGAAGAAGAACCCCTCAAAGGAAGCTCCCCATTGGCTCTCTGTAGGTGCTCAGGGATTCTCTCCTTCCATTTAGGGGAAGATGGAAGAATAACTCCCTTAAAAATCAGCAGGAATGAGATTCAGTCAAGGCAGGTCAGTCTGACCCCCAAACACATTCAAGGAACTCTTAGCAGGCATCAGGATGAATGCCGCTTTCAATTGTGATAGAGGAAGGAAGCATCTCCGCTGGGTCAGAGTGACCACCTGCTCAAGTCAACTCCTAAGTTTAGCCTAATGAAGAGAAGGCTCTGGGGAGACAGGATAGCATCCTCCAATACTTGAAGGGTTGTCACAGGGAAGAGAGAATTGATTTATTCTCCATAGCACCTGAGGGCAGGACAAGAAGCAGTGGAGGGAAGCACGTCAGAAGGAGATCCAACTTGGAAATAAGGAGGAATTTCCTGACCATGCGAATGATGAATCAATGGAACAGCTTGTCTCCCGGAGTCTGGGATGCTCCATCGTTGAGGTTTTCAAGAAAAGATTGGACAACTAGTTGTCTGGAATAGTATAAGGTCTCTTGCCTTCAGCAGATGGTTGGACTAGAAGACCCCCAAGGTCCCTCCCAGCCCTATCATCTTATTATTCTATCCATGTTGAAGTGGCAGTCAAAGAGGAGCAGATGGCGTTCTCCAGGCATGAGGGAGAAAAACATCAAGTTGTCTTCGTGAAAGAACAACACCCAGAGTTAAAGTGGCCTTGATGTTAGCATTTCTGTTCACTTTTTGGAATATTCCCCAGGTACTCTCAAAGAAACGGGAGGTATCAAAACACAGTCCTTGTTGACTCCTGCCTTCCCACTTCTATCCGTGTCACCAGTTGTTGAGGACCGGTTGCAGTGCCAGGGGAGAGGTTAGTCTGGGGATCCCTGCAAGAAATCTTACTGTCTCCTGGGGCACCAGAGAGCAAAGTTTCAGTAAGATTTTTTCCAAGATGGGAGAGAAAAAGAAGGCTTCCTTGATCTGCCACTGGCAAAGAAGGCAGCTAATAGCCGGAAGGAACTCACATTTCAGGTAACACAGATAATCTCATCTAAGCTCCTGCCCCAAATAGGCCAATGTCAAGTAAAGCTGGGATTAGATGTTCGGCTATTGTTGGCATATCCGACACGGTCTCTCTTCCAAGGAGTGAGAATCTGAAAGAGCTTGTTCCTAAGAAAACCCTCCCTCCACTGTCATCCTTTTGTTTTCCAAAGTCCAAGAATGGAGATGTGGCCTCCAAGAAGGCAGAGATATCCTCCAGGGGAGTCAGGAAAGTCCAGACTGCAGCTGTGAGACATGAAAATGGAGACAGAACCCGAATCACGTGGGCACAGTTGAGTTTTTGGGCTTCTCCCACGGATGGAGGTTTTTCTGCTCCATAATAGCATTGTATCTCAAAGGGACAGGTTACAAATGCATGCTAGTGATACCAATATAAGAAAACATTTGTAGCTCAGGGCTAAAATTAGGGGTTCTTGGTGCTCTCTGAACTTGGTTGTTTTCTTGCAGACAAATCATGAACCAACTAGGAACATTATCGATACTAGAAGGGAGTGGGGTTTGCAGGAAGGAGGAGGAGGTGGTGGTGGTGATGGTGTGGTCCTTGGTTGTTTTCTTCTAGATGCTTCATTACCCAACAAGGGAACATCATCAGTGGTAGAAGGGAATAGGGTTTGCTCTCATACTAAAGTGAGTTCAGCGTGAGTTACTCTGGGGAAAACAAAGTCCTACACCTCCAGAAACAGAGCAGAGAAATGGATGAGATGAAGACAGAAAGGGAAACCGACTCAGGTCCAATTCAGTGAAAGCGAATGAACATTAATGAACAACAGGTCCCATGATTATGTCCCATAGCGTTCAAGAGAAACACACCTCATTTTGCCCAGTTAAAATGCAGATTTCAATGGCTCTTTTAGCAGAGACAAAACAACCCTCAGAATCGGTCTGCTTAATCAGGGTTATCTCTCCTGCCTTCTCAGGCTTGCAAATCCGGTAGGCAGAGAATTGGTCCCCCAGCCTTCCGTGTGAAACGGCACGTTATATTTAGAATACTTTAATCTCTAACATGTGCAAGTATGGGAGATTCGTTCTCAGTCAGCACAACAGCTTTGTGTTGCAAGAAAGACGCGTCCTTCATCTTCTTCCGTTGAGGCTCAAAGCCTTTTTTGTCACCTGAAATGTTGACTCACGTTGGGAGGGGGGGAGGTTGACAGCTCCCCAGCTTCCTTAGAGAATGAGGA